GTGTGTGTGTGTGTGTGTGTGTGTGTGTGTGTGTGTGTGTGTGTGTGTGTGTGTGTGTGTGTGTGTGTATATAAGCTGTTGGACTTTTGCTCAGCAGCAGCTTTTGGTTTCAGGATGAAGTCTGTTCTGTTTCTGCTGCTGTTCTTCTCTGTCAGTTGGGGACAGTTGGAGGCTTCTGTCTCCCAGGAGGAGGACCTGAGGACGGTGGAGGACGACGACGACGTCCCCCCGGAGCTCCCCGTCCTCTGGGACGAGCTGCGGGGCCTGAAGGACCTGGTCCTCAGCGTAAAGGCCGCGGAGGTGGAGCAGCGTCAGGCCATCAGGAGCCTGGAGACCCGGCTGAGGGACGGAGAGCTGGAGGACTGGACGCAGAGACGCAGCCTGGACGGTCTGGAGGAGACAGTGGAGCAGCAGAAGGAGGAGCTGAGGAGAACCATGGAGATGAACTCAGACCTGAGGAGGAAGCTGGAGGAGCAAAGCAAAGGTAGGAGGAGGAGGAGAGCAAAGGTAGGAGGAGAGGAAAGGGAGGGGGGGGGAGGAAGAGGAGGATAGGCAGAGCAAATGGAGGGGGAGGAGTTTAAAAGATTCCTCTGTTGATGCTCTTTGCAGCAAAATAATTTGTTTCTGGACGAGAAAACCAGAATTTGATGCTGGAAGATGTTTAAAAGTCCGACTGTGTTCAGCTGTTAGAAGTTAGACTCGTTATTATTTACAGAAACAAGAGAACGATACATCAAGGTGTCGTCTGCATAAATAATGAAATATTTTATTAATGTAATTTTAAAGAAGTAAAATGGGACCCAGTATGGAGCCTTGTGGGACGCCATCATTTTTAAAAAGCTAGAATATACACAAAGTTGGACACTTTGTATAGTTTTCAAACCATTTAACATTATTAGATTAGATTGGATGAACTCTTAATAAAAGGAATAATGCTCACAGTATTCTTTAGAGTCAGTTACATTTATGACGTCATTTAGCAGCTTCATTGTAGCCGTGACGTTACTGTTTATATCTAAAACCAGACATAACCTTTAATTTATAAGATTTATAGGAGTTAGTTTGATCTCTGACCTTCAATAAGATAAAAACGTATGCAGGTATTTCACTACTTTCTAAAGTTGGGGTGAAAATGTAAGTTAAATGTTCTGGTTCTGTGAGAAATAAAGATCTGAGTCATCAGCTGATTTCTTGATTATCTGATTTTTTTTTTTTTTTAAAGCATCAAATCATTACATTCTGATATTTGTTGACATATTTCTGACTCGTACTTCTGATTGTTTCTGTCACTTTGTTGTGTTTCGATCTTTAAAGTTCGAGCCGTCAAGTTTTCATCTGAAGTGTTGACGCTTCACTTCAGACTGAATGCCAGCGAGCGTTCAATGGACGACCTTAAGAAGAAGAACTCAGGTGAGATGACTTGAGTTCTTCTTGTTCAACTTTTCACAGTGATTCAACTTCAAGTTTCTTTAATGGCTTTAATGTTTACCAACATTTAGCTGCTTTTATCTCTTCATCTTCATCTCATATGTGTATATATATAATTATTATTATTATTTTGTGGACAGCTCTAGCAGCTGAGCTTCCGTTCCTGCAGACCAGACTGAGGGCGAGTGAAAACACAGTGGAACAGCTGAGGAGGAAAAGCACAGGTCATCATCATCTTCATCTTCATCATATTTATGTTTACAGTTTGTTTCGTTACTTTGTGACCTGATTTGCAAAATTGTAAACTCAAGTCACATGACTTTAACACAAATACTTTAATACAAAGACTTGTGACTTTAACACAAATACTTTAATACAAAGACTTGTGACTTTAACACAAATACTTTAATACAAAGACTTGTGACTTTAACACAAATACTTTAATACAAAGACTCGTGACTTTAACACAAAGACTCGTGACTTTAACACAAAGACTCGTAACTTTAACACAGACTCGTAACTTTAACACAGACTCGTGACTTTAACACAGACTCGTGGCGTTAACACAAAGACTTTAACACAAAGACTTCTAACTTTAATACAAAGACTTGTGACTTTAACACAAAGACTTGTGACTTTAACACAGACTCGTGGCGTTAACACAAAGACTTTACCACAAAGACTTTAACACAAAGACTTGTGACTAACAAAGTGACTCGTGACTCTGAGATAAAGTTTGGTTTGTTTCCACAGTTCTTTCAGTCAGGTTGTGTAACGCTGAAAGTCTGATGGAGGAGCTGATGAGACAGCCCTCAGGTCAGTTTCCTCTTAACTTTAACCCTCTTATTGATCATTACTAATCAATAAATATACATGTTTTAATTAACAGACTATATTGTAGCTGTAAACAGATCTAGAGTCTTCATAGGAGAACAAATACAGAACATTAATAAACCTTTATAAGTGCTTACAGCTACATTGTAGTATGTTATTAACCTTTTAGTGCATGTTGATAGTGTTCCTGTGTGCTTCTAGGAGATGTAGTTCTGACTGTGCTTCTGACTTCATGATCTCATTTTAGTGGAATGTTTTTTATTAAACTGCTGAACTTTGAATCAAAAGTAAAATACCTTTATATATTAATATTAGTGCAGGGCAAGTTAATGCGCTATTATCGCGTTAACGCATTAATTAATTAACGCCGACGATTATTTTATCGCGCGTTAACGCAGTTTTTGTTTATTATTAAGCGGACATTTTTGTGATGATGATGATGACATGATGAGGTTTGCAGTTTTCAAGAAGTATATTTCAAATTGCATCTCTTACACACATGAAGATAAAGTTGTGAACACCGGCTGAATATCTATGATCAGAATCATTATAACTGCTACTGTGTAAAGGGAATACTGCTGTTAACAAGAACCTGATGTGTTTAAAGTGTTTGCAAACCAAATGTTACTGACCTTTTGTTCATATAGCAGTACTTTCAAAATAAAAGTGCGCAATACACTACTTTTGAATTCATGATTGAATTTTGCGCATAACAATGAGATTAATCGCAAACAAATCATGCGATTAAAAATTGTAATCGTTACCCAGCACTAATTAATACGAATGATATAAGTTACAAATATTAAGACACTTTTGGCCATTTTATTTCTTTATTTCCCAGCATTCCCGACTTCAAACAGTTCGTCTCAGACTGAAACTGAGCTGGAGGAGATGAACTCAAATACTCAAGGTGACTGAACCAATCCACCAATCACAATCAGTATGAGATCATTGATTTCATCAGATCAATAATTACAGTGACTACCTCTGTTTTTTTATGTTTATGTTTAGACTCCAGATTTTATTCACAAACTCAGTGCTGCTGATAAAGCGGCACTGTTTCTCTAGTGTGTGCGTGCGTGCGTGCGTGCGTGCGTGCGTGCGTGCGTCTGTATAGTTTCAGTTCTGCAGAGTCGACTGAACTCACTGGAGAAAAAACTGAACTCATCTGCAGAAAGAGACAAGCTCAGCTTAATACGAGGTCATCCATCCATCCATTCAACCATCCATCCATCCTTTCTTTTTTTCTTTCTTTCTTTCGTAATACTCATTAATCATTAATTCTTACGTAAGCCGCGTACTTAAGTACAGTTTTACTTGATTTCACACTTTGACGAGTGACTAAAAACCTTGTGAAGTATTTTCTTCTCCTGCTTCGTGTTTCATTACAGAGTCATAATAAAAACATCAATCCGTTCATGTCAGTGCTATAGAAATGATGAATCAATATGTCGATGTGGTCATTGTTGTTTGGGATTATTTTTACTTTTTAAGCATAAAAGTACATAATAATTATCAGCAAAATGTACTTTAAGTGCAGTACTTTTACCTATAATAGAGTACTTTTACCTCAACAATAATACTTTGAACACTTTCTGTTATGCTCAGCTGTTTTTTTTCTGACGCCTCCTTCAGATCAGTGATGTCACTTCCTGTGTTTTCAGTTCAGGATGACGCGGTGAAGCAGCTGCAGGTAAGATTGAACTCTGCAGAGACTCAGATTCAGCAGCTGCAGACAGACCAATCAGGTAACAGAGAGAGAGAGAATCTACACTGAAGCTCACAGAGGAAATGTTTCACTGCAGCTGGTTTATCTTCGTGTTTCAGATCAAACCTCCAAACCGATGAAGCTACAGAGAAAGGTGAACACAACCGAGAGTCTCCTGGACACAATGAACACAGGTACATCATACATCAATCTGTTTATTAAGCAGTCCACTAGAGAGGAGCCGATCGTGTTGTTTGGACAGCTGATTCACTTTCACTGTTTTATCCTCAGCTCTGGAGGTAAGACTGAGTGTCAGTGAGAAACATCTGGAAGATCTTAAGACAGAAAACACAGGTAACACTCTGAAGGTTTAGGACTAACTGTAGATTATGAAATTATATCAGAATAAAACAATAATTTATTTGAGCTCATGTGTTGCTTCAAACTGGAGGATCCAGTAAAGTTCCCAGAGGAACTAATTTGACCTCCTGATGGTTCTGGTTGGAACCTTTATGATCAAACTGTTGATTTCACCCTCTGGCCACTTTATTAGGTACACCTGTAAAATCTAATACAACCCAATACAACTGTACTGCCAGTCCAGGTTTTAATAACCACTGAGTATGACCTCATTGATAAATATGTAAATCAACAAAAACAGAATATTAGAAGCTTTGTAAAGCTGGACTTTGTGGGTTGGTTCTATTGTGCAGGTACAGTGTAAATCTGAGAATAGTATGAATTGTCTTTTTATCTCAAGTACGTTCAACACAACAATGTTTGCAAAGATGTTTTAAAGGTAAACTCTGGAGGATCCAACATGGTTCCCTGAGGAGCCCCTTCTAAACAAGAATGTTCTCTCTTTAGAGTTGGAGGTCAGACTGAGAGTCAGTGAGAAACATCTGGAAGAACTGAAGACAGAAAACACAGGTAACACTCTGAAGGTTTATCCATAAAGAACTGATAGAAATATGTTGACGTCCTTAGAGAGACACATGTAGAGAATGTTCTGACTGAAGCAGTGGAGTATCCAGTAAGGTTCCCTGAGGAACTCCTTTATCATCCTGATGGTTATTGTAGGAACCTTTTATGACATTTGAATTGACAGGAATTATAACTCAGCTATTTATAATACAGATGATTAAAATCCTTTTTTATATTTTAAAGTAGACGTTTGTTTTTTGCTTCTGTTGTGTGTTTTTCCATAAATGTACTCCAGGAGTCACAAGTTCTTTGTTTCTGATTTATTTTGTGTTTTCAGTTCAGTCTGTTCAACTTTCCTTGATGGAGTCCAGACTGACAGATAGCCACAACAAAACTACAGGTAGATTTAAATTAACTTTATTATATTCATGAACACAAGTGGTAAATAGTTTGAAATGAATCATATATTTCCTGTTTTCTCTTCAGAGTTGGAGGTCAGACTGAGGGTCAGTGACAAACAGCTTGAAGATGTGAAGACAGAAAACACAGGTAACACCCTGAAGGTTTAAAATAACTAGCTTTATATCCATGTATTGTATAAATATTAGTGCTGGGCAATGATTAACATTTTAGTCGCGATTAATCGCATGATTTCTTTACGATTAATCTCATTGTTATGCGCAAAATTCAATAATGAATTCAAAAGTAGGGTATTGCGCACTTTTATTTTAAAAGTACTGCTATATGAACAAAAGTGCAATAACATCTGGTTTGTAAACACTTTTAACACATCAGGTTCTTGTTAACAGCAGTATTCCCTTTACACAGTAGCAGTTATAACACAGTTATAATGATTCTGATAATAGATATTCAGCCGGTGTTCACAACTTTATTTTCATGTGTGTAATAGATGCAATCTGAAATATACTTCTTGAAAACTGCAAACCTCATCATGTCATGTTTTTTTTCTAATGTTTGTTAAATTCTCAGTAGCGATAACTAAATGATATGCTTATTATACATATTACAAACAAAAACACTTTCACTAACAAGGACCACGCCAATAACAGTATGAGTTTCGAGAGGTTTATTGCATAGTGGAATGATTGTTCGATTCAAGAAGCGGAAGGGGTCGAGGGATGAATAGATATAGGGTAGAGGGATGAAGGGGAGTAGGATAGGGGTGAAGGGGAGTAAGGTAGGGATGTAGGGATGTAGGGATGAAGGGTAGAGGGATGAAGATGTAGAGGGATGAAGGGATGTAGGGTAGGGATGAAGGGATGAGGGGTAGGGGTCGAGGTAGAGGGATGTAGGGTAGGGGTAGAGGGATGAAGGGATGTAGGGATGTAGGAAGAAGAAACGAGGAGGGTTCGTAGGAAGGAGGTTAGGCGATCGAAGGGGGACCGTTGATGTCCGCCGGCTGGCGGGAACGGAGACTTGTAGGGTGGGGGCTGTCTCTTCGGAAGCTCTGGCAGTGCAGAGTCCCCTGTCGTTCCTGTAATCCTGCGAGAGAGAGAGAGAGAGAGAAATAGGAGGACGAAAATGGGGTTGGGGGGGAGGGATGTGAAGACAAGAGTCGAAGAGGAAGTGAACGGGTTCGTTGTGCTTAAATACTCTGTGCAGAGGAAATGAGCTGTGTTCTGGGCGTGGCCCTGTTCCTGAACAAAGTTTATAAAACTAAATTTTAAAAACTCTAAAAAAATAATTTAAATTAATAATTTCTTTTTGGCTTTTTTTGGTCAGACACATGTAATGCTGATTACCGTAATATGTGTGGTATTTGTTATAAATGTACGTTGGTACATAGAGGGTGATAAGAAGCTGTACCTGGAGGGACTTAGGACCCAGGGGAATGTCGGTGAAGGAAACGGGAAGAGATGCCACAAGGTTCTTGTGTTAAAAATGTCCGCTTAATAATAATAAAACTGTGTTAACGCACGATAAAATAATTGCCGGCGTTAATTAATGAATGCGTTGGCGTTAATTAATGAATGCGTTAACGCGATAACTTGCCCAGCACTACTACATATATATTCACTATCTGCATCACAAGTCAGTCACTTTGATAGTGAATCAAGTATTTGACCAACAGATGTCAGAACTTCTGCTTCTTCTGTTCATCAGTTTCCTGTGTTCCTTTGTTCCCTGATTTTCAGTTTTGAGCTTCAGACTGAATGAAACTGATAATCGTCTCACAAACACAAACTCAGGTTTGGACTCAAGTTCTTTACGACTTTAGAGCGAAAAAATGCTTTTTGTTTCATTCAGAACTTCACAAAAAATGATGAAAATTCATCCAGTAATATTTTGAGTGTCTTTCTTTAAAACTCTGAACAGAAACAAAGAATAAGCTGGAAATTATGAAACATTTAGATATTAAACATTCAGAGTTCCATCAGAAGGTAAAACAGGTTTTTATTGTATTAAAACATTGAAGTCAAACTTCTTTTTGCAGGTGACCTGAAGGTTGCATTCTCAGCCGGTCTGACTGATTCAGGATCAGTCGGACCATTTGACGAGGAGACGACTCTGATCTTCTCCAAAACCATCACCAACATCGGCCAAGCCTACAACCAGACTGAAGGTAAACCCTGTCCCCTTAAATACCTCGTTACAACCAGACTGCAGGTAAACCCTGTCCCCTTACAGACCCATGATGTCATGGCCTCAGTATCAGTGTTTGGTGTGTAAGTGTTGACCTGCTCTGTGTCTGTCAGGCGTGTTCACGGCTCCCGTCAGAGGACTTTACTTCTTCAGCTTCACGGCTGCAGACTACCTGAAGGGTTACATGGGTCTCCACCTGTACAGGAACAACCAGCCAGTTGTCTTCAGCCTGGTCCTGAACGACCACGGCGGCTACGCTTCCATGTCGGGCGGCGTAGCCCTGCAGCTGGAGGAGGGCGACGGGGTCCGCCTCAGTCTGCCGGCCAGCTACCGGCTCTACGACGACTCGAGAAACTTCAGCGTCTTCTCCGGCTTCCTGCTGTTCCCCCTCTGACCCCCGGATCAGGGTCTCGGCAACAAACCATCCCTTCAGGTATCAAGCTGTAACTGGACTTTTATTTTGGTCGAGACTTCCTGTGGTTACCAACAGGATGGACCTGAAGACGATGTCATGGGAATATAATGATTTTAAATAAATAAAAAAATAACCTTCATAAAAACAAACATCTGAAGTCTCAAACTTTTTGAGACTACCCTAACCCTAACCCTAATCCTAACCCTACATTTTGACAAAAACTTTTCAAACTTTGACCTGTTTGTTAAAGTGTTCCTTTAATAACAGTTATAAAAAGAGGAACTTCAGTGTGTATCCTCTGGAGACAACGAGTCTGTTCAGTGTAACATCAGCAGAATAAACACAAACTAAAAATCTGATTCAAGTGAACTCAGGAAGAACCATTTACATCAAATAAAGGAACAACAAAGTTTGTTCAAAGTGTCTCGTATTGCAGTTTGTTCCTTTAGTAAGTCTCTACAGTCTAACATCAACGTTTCATAACAATAACTCTTCAGAAATCTAAAATAAAAACTTCCACGACTCCGTCGCTGAAACTTCTTTCAAAAAAACGACTCGAAAGAAATTTCAAGTCATTCAGTTTCGAAAACAAATTCAGTTTCTTAAAAAAAAAAAAAAGTTTTGTAGGATCGACTCGTCTGTCCTTTAAGACCAGAGAGATTCTTGCATAATAATAAAAGAAAGTAACAAGTTCAGAATAAATCAAAATGGCTTCAGATCCTTCATCTGTGAAGACGAGGAGGAAGAAAAGACAGAGGAAGGAAGGAAAGAAGAAAAAAAAGATGGAGATGAAAGAGGAAAAGATGACAAAGAAAAAATGGATGAAGAATGGAAGAGCATCAGAGGATGAAGAGGAGTGGATGAGGAGGAGCAGTGGATGAAAAGCCTCAGAGGATGAAGAGGAAAAAGAAGAAAAAAGTAAAGGAGGAAGACTAAGAGGAGGAGGATGAAGAGCCTCAGTGATGAGCCTCCATGTTGTGGACCCGGTGGTGAACGGCCTGCAGCAGCAGCAGAGAATACTCCTCCAGCAGAGTTGCTGTCTTCACCCCCCCCAGCCTCTCCTCAACTCCCAGCATGCTCGGCACGCCGAGCGGAAGACAGTCGAGCTCCGCCCTCATGGCCTGGAAGGCCTCCGATAGGACGACGGCTATCTGGCGCTGGTTGGGGGCGGAGTCATCGTGAGAGGAGCCTCTCACCTGGAGGAGAGAGAGAGAGAGAGAGAGAGAGAGACACACAGGTGAGGGAGCTGATGATGTCACTGCTGATGTCCTTCAACTGCCCCGCCCCCTTCCTGTTTCACAACCTCTGGTCTGAACCAGGAGACCCTATTTATTTAAAGTGTTAAAGCTGCATTCTCTCCACTGACCAGCAGGGGGCGACTCCTCTGGTTGTATAGAAGTCTATGAGAAAATGACTCTACTGAGGTAATAAATCAAGAGAGAAGTAAACATTGTAAACATGAGTTTATGGTCTCAATCTCTAGTTTCAAGTCTTCTTCAATACAGCATGATGTTCATTTAGTAAGTTATAGTCCATCTAGAGTCGAATAGACCATAAAGCAGGGTATGCTTTAGGGCGGGGCTACATGGTGATTGACAGGTCGACACCCAGACGGCCTTCTTTAGGTGAGTTCACATCTAAAACTTCCTACATGTTGTCAGATATAAAAGCTGTATTGATACAGACTCACCTTCCTGTACAGGTGTGTTGCTCTTTTGAAGCAGCTCTGCAGCTCATTGGTCAGAGCTCTGCAGGTCTCCACACTGATTGGCAGGTCTGCACACAGAGAGAGAAGGTGAGGTCACTCTACCAATAACAATACTGACAGCTGATTGGCTGACCCCCCCCTTCCTGTTTAGTTCTAATTGTCTAAATGATAAGATGGAGGGAGTGAAGAAGAAGAGACGAATAACATCAAACACAGAGAAATGTCTCACCCGTCACCACAGAGCAAGAGCAAGAGCAAGAGCAAGAGCAAGAGGAAGAGGATGAAGAAGAGGGGCGGAGCCAAAGATGACAGTGTGACAGGATGAAGAGAAGGATGATGAAGAAGAGGGGTGGAGCCAGAGATGACAATGTGACGGGATGAAGAGGAGGAGGATGAAGATGAGAGTCCAAACCTGCATCATCTCTTGGCTCCACGCTGCCGCCGCCTGCAGGAGTCTGAGATTCCTCCTCCTGCCAGGGGGGAGTCAGGGGGGAGACGGAGACCGGAGGAGGCCGTGACGAGGAGGCGAGGGAGGACAAGGAGGCGAGGGAGGGCTTGTCGGGGAGTGGTTTGCCGGGTACCCGAGCCTGGAGGCCGCGGGGGGGAGGGGCCGCCTGGTTGCCATGGTTACCCAGAGACGAGGAGGCAACAACGACGGAAAAAACGGAAGCATGGGGGGGCGTGGCCAGACCTACGTTGGAGGTCACCACGGCAACAAGAGGAGGAGGCGTGTCTTTGACCTGAGAGGAGGGAGTTACCGATGATGAAGATGTCATCGGGGGGTCCTCGCCACATTCTGGGATGTTCAGGCCGTCGCCCACGGAGACAGAGCGAGAAATCTTAGCCATGGAGCTGGCGGTCGGACTCATGTAGGAACGAGACGCCACCAGAGTGGACGAGGACGACTTCCTCGGGGTGCCGACAGCAGACGAAGCTGCAGACAAGATGGCAGCGGCGGCTGTTTCCTGTTGGGGGGACCTGGGGGAGGCGGGGCTTGGTCTCTGAGGGGGCGGGGCTGTGGACTGGGGGAGGCGGGGGGAGGAGGGGAGGGTGGTAGGGCGCTGCAGGGGGGGGAGGGGCTGAGGCTCTCTGATTGGACAGGAGGTTGAGAAGGAGGAGTTACCTGAGGGAGAGAGAAAGTTTGAGGTTTGGGTCTTTATTTAACTGGTCACCTGAGTCTCTGGAGGTTCTGAGTCTCACCTGAGTCGGTCAGCAGGTTCTGGACTGACTGAGCCTTCCGAAGTCCGGAAGAGGAGTTCAGATGGAAGGCGGCGGCTCGGGCCGTCGGGCCCAGATTCCTCTTAGACTCCACTGCGGTCTGGATCTTCTTCTTCAGTGGGGGGGGTCGGTGGGTCTGCTGGTCCGAGGAGGTCTCCTCCGCCATCTGGTTCTGGTTCACATCTTGAGGAGGCTGGTCCTGGTTGATCCTGTTCTGGGGATGTGCCTGGGCGTGAACTGAGGAGGTTTGGTCCTGATTCTGTTTCTGGCTTTGGTCCTGGTTCCATGACACCCTCTGGTCCTGGGTCTGGTTCAGAGGGCGGACTTCTGAGACCAGAGGCCGGGCCTTCACCTCTCCTCCTCCAGAAGTCCGAGATGGGAGAGGAAACACAGTCCGACTGAGGAGGAGAAACAGAACCAGAGGGTTTTAGATCAACAGTCTTTAGTCTCAGCTGATCCTGATCAGACTATTAAACATGTTGAGTCATCACAAAGTGTGGATCTGTGTCATCTGAGGTTTTACCTTCCAGCTGGATTCTGGGAGAGGAACCTGGAAGAGATGCTAATACTCTCACTGGAGCTGTGAGAAGCTTTGCTTGGACTTCCTGTCAACACACAGTTTATATGTTTGAGTCCTCCAGACTCAGAGGTTCAGCTCGACAAGACGGTTTAACAGCGACGCGTCAAAGTTAATTTAACTTAAACGTCTAGAGTTCTTCAAGACAAGTCCAAGTCCAGAGACCTTTAACACAAGTCAAAGACAAGTCCATGTCCTCAAAAGCAAGTTTAAGTCTAGAACACTTTGACACAAGTCAAAGACAAGTCCAAGTTTAGAGACCTTTGATACAAGTCCAAGTCTAGAGTCCTGAGAGACCAGTCCTGACTACGAAGTCAGCTTCAACATTTGTATTCAATAATAAATAGATACCAGTTAATAACAGAAAGTTATGAATCTATTCTCTGGACCAGATCAGCAGACCATCACAGAGGTACAGACCTGATCCCGAGAGGTCGGCCAGTGTGACAAAGTGTTCCTTCAGGAAGGCTTCCTGGTCTGGAGTCTGAGGGACGAGCTGAGAGCTCACAACCTCTTTTGCTCCTCTTCCTGCTGCTGCTCCTCCTCCTTCATCCTCTTCTTCCTCCTCCAGCTCAGAGGAGTTTCCATCCACACTAAGAAGCTCAGTGAGCTCCAAGTCTACGAGACCAAAGAAAGAGGGGTTAAAGGTTAGTGACAGACACGAGAAATCTCTGTCCGTCTCACTGTGTCTGTCTGTCTTAGTCTCTGACTGTCTCTCTGTATCTGTCTGTCTGTCTTTCTGTCTCACCGTCTCCTGCAGGTCTGACTGGACTGGACAGCCTGGAGCTGAATCCCAGTGAGCAGCCGCTGTCTGGACTGGGTTTGTCCTGATGTCCACCTGAGGCAGGACACGCCTCCTTCACCTGGAACTCACTGACAGGAAGGGGCAGGGGTTAGAGGGGGCGGGGTTTAAAACAGTGTCAACATCCAACCTAATACTTTTTACTTTAAGGACATACAAAGTACTTTCTGTTACATACAGTATTCATTGAACTGGGACAAACTACTTCCTCATAACAAGGGACCTCTTCCTCATATGTCTGCTGCAAAGGATTGTGGGTCAGAGTAGCCTAAAAAGCATGCTGGCTTCATGCTGCATGAATGAGACCAGACGTGGTAGAACATCCTGGTACCTTCCTGCCAGGCTCACTCTGTCCTCCCATCGGTCGGGATACAGAACCACAGCCTCCATGTCTGGGCTGTGGTTGGACAGCGGGATGAAGTCCGGCCTCTGATTGGTCCTTGCCTCATTGTCCTCTGCCTGGATGGATACAGAGTCACAGGTTCATCTTTCACTCCAGAGACATATTGCTGATAAAATGTTACTGGCCTTTCTACCGTATTCCGTGGCCTTCTTCAGATACCTGAAGGTGCTCAGGTGTCCTGTTGACATGTGACTCAACACCTGAGCACCTTCAGGTGAAACACGGTGGAAAGGTTAGAGGTTAGATGGTGGGTGTGTGTTCTCACCCATGCAGTGTTGACCTGCAGACTGATGCTGCTCCCCAGCTCCCGATTGGTCCTGTGAAGCCCCGCCCCCACACACTGGCCCATCCCACTCGGACAAGGGGGGGAGGGGCTCACAACGGGGCATGTCTTCACCTGGGAGGGACGGACAAAAGCTGGAGTTAACTCTGCGTTCAAAATGCTGTATTTTCTTAATGTAGTCTGGTTTGTCTTCCTGACCTCGTGCTCCGCCCCCTGGTCCACCTGTTCATCAGGACGGTACGAGTCCAGCAGTCTCAGGTCCAACATGGACTTCACCATCAGGACGCCGTCACTGCCCGTCCTCCTGGACCACCGACGGCGAGGGAGGCGTCCCCCCGACGCGTCCTGAGGAGTCCCAGAGAAACACTGAGGTACACTGAGGTACTCTGAGGTACACTGAGGCACACTGAGATACACTGAGGGAGGCTGTTTATATAAGTATATATATATATATATATACACACAGTATAAAACACAGACAACAAAATGTCCTCTGACCTTCTTGCCGTCTCTGCAGAACTTTTCATCAGACATTTCTGCAGGAAAGCAAAAAACAAAAACAGGACAGGATTTATTTTCATCAGCTGCTGATCTTTCCTATGATTTAACTGTGAACTCAAACACAACCCTCACTGATCTTTGTTTTGTTCTGGTTTATCCTTCCAGCCTGAATATCAAGCTGATTTATTTATGTCTGTTATCACTTTACACGTTTCTACCAGCTGTTCTGTCATCAGTAGTGTTATGAGAATAAAGACTTTTCACGTTAAGAGTTAACACAGAAACCTGACGTATATTTTAAAGAAAACACTCTGTTGTGTTACACAACTACGGCAGCTGAGAAGGACAATCTTTGTTACATATGACAAAATAACCTCGATATCACTGCAGAGGACGTCCCAACGGAGGATCCTGATTATTGTGATCCACCATCCAGACTACATGAGCTCCTTCAATACGACTTCTATCCAGCTCTCTGCTGATTGGATAAAACTTACGCCAACGCTTTAGCATGCTGTGTAACCATGGTAACATACCCGTCTCCTCCTCCAGGCATCCTGCTGTGGCCATATAAGGACTCCTGCACTCCTCCTCCTCCTCTTCCTCCTCCTTGTCGCTGTCAGACGACATGTTGACGACACGAGGAGAAGACACCTCCCGGCTACGCACACGCACACACACACTTTACTCAATTTACTCACATTAAACGGTGTGTATAAGTTGTGCTATAATTCAACAAGTTAGTTTTTGTAAATGAACGCTGACAAACACATCAGGTCCTACAAGCCGAACATTTACCTGAGGTTCACCCCTTTTTGCTGTGGTGCATTCTGGGAGGTTTGAGTGCTGCTGGGAGATTGAAGGTCAGCGAGTCGCTGTCTCATCCTGATGGTCAACTCTGGACTGAGACGCCACACGAAGATACAGCTGCACACAAACAGAGGTTGTATTAGTACTTTAATTAAATACTTTTCTCCACGTTTTGTAAACTGTAAAGAACACAATCTCTATGATGAAACATTACCTGTCTCCAGACACTGTGATCAGGTGTCTGCAGTCACTACTGAACTTCAAACCTGTTACTATCTCTGACAGACAGATGGAAACACTGTTAGAGAGAAATATACATATGTACGTAGATTCATACATCATGCATTCATTCACTTTTGTAGTCGGATTACTTTTACAACATATTATGCTATGACTTTTTTTGCCTCTCTACAGCAGACTATTAAAAAATGTTATAAAAATTCATATTATGGTATGTCGGAAAAAGTTTAAAAAGTCACTTTTTAATATATCATAAAGTCATATTATGTCGTAAAAATAAAAAAGTCATAGTATAATATGTTGTAAAAACAAAAACAATTTTTTTTTAAAGTCATAGTGTACTATAACGTAATATATATATATCAATACATATATATAAATACATACATTCATAGTAATGGACTGAATGACTTCACTAACCTGAGTGTCCGAACATCGTGGCCACACATTCTCCAGAGTAGAAGTCAAATATACTGATGTTTTTATCCGAACAGGAAGTGGCGATGTAGAGACCTGACGGGTCGATCTGCACCTGAAGACGACAGAGGAGGGGGAAGTTAACACCTGCAAGATAAAAGAATCATCTACACCTGATGTTACTATGGAAACACTTGCCTTAATGAGAGTACCGTCCTCTCCCTGAGAGCCTTTATACATCTTCTTCTGTTTACCGTTACTGATGTTAAAGATCCTGTAGAAGTAGGAGGAGGAGCAAGAGGAAGAGCATCATACATTTACAGTTAGGACACAGAGATAAAACAAAATACTTCACAGATCATATTTATGTTTCGTTTTAAAGAGTTAATTCCTAATGTGACCAGCAGGAGGCAGCCTGAACACAGAGCTCTGGTCCAAAAATCCAATTATGACCTCAGTCGTAGAAGAAGAAGAAGAAGACGGGAACGTGATAATCCTAATCCTCCTCCTGGTGCCTGCTGGGTAATAACCCTCCCTGCAGACTGAACTGTCATGTTTGTCAGACACACACACTCACTCTCACACACATACACACACACACGCACACGCACACTCACACACCTGATGCTGCGGTCCTGACAGCCCACTGCTGCGTACTTCCTGGTGGGTTCCACGTCCATGTCGTACAGAGTGGTCTTCCTCACCACGTGATGAGTACGAGTGAACTCCAACCCCTCCTCCATCTGTGAGGAAGAGGAGGAGGAGGAGGAAGAAGAGGAGGGAAAACTAATAAAACAAACTTACTTCGTTTTATTAGATTTTTCTCATATGTAGCATAAATGTAGTGCAGTACAAGTATGAAGCAAATACTCTAGTAAAGTACAAGTACCTCAAACAAATACAAGTACACTACTTGAATGCATGTACTTAGTTACCATCAGCTACTGTGTGACATCACCAGGTGTGGCTCTCACCTGCTGAGCGGTGCGGAAGTAGACGCTCTTATCGGCACCACAGCTGATCATCCTCACCTTCCCCTCATTGGCTGACAGACAGGAAGAACAGGAAGATGTCAGAGGGATGATTCATACCAACAACCTGAACATCAGAGGTCACAGAGACTCACCGGCGAATCGGACGGCAGTGATGGAGGACGAGTGTTCGTCCAGAGTCTGAACCAGACTGTAGTCTCGGCCTGCATCCAGGACGTGGATCAGACGGTCACGACTGGCTGTGGCTAACAACTGGAGACCTGAGAGACAGACAGGGAGAGGAAGACAGAGGGAGACAGAGACAGGGAGACAGACAGGGATGTTTTGTGTTATGTTGGGTCTGTATCGTTATGTATATATTTTGTGTCACCTCTTCAAGAAGTGCTACCCTGAGCCTTCCACTTAGCACTTATTGTATTCATACTAAACATTGAACAAAAAGTTCGGAAGATCGTGTTTGGTAGATTATTTCTCCATTGTAACAATGCTTCGTGGCAATAAATGTTATACCGTTGGAAAGCCTGTTCATTTACCTTTCAAACGGTGCCCCAATTGTAAGGAACATGCATTTCTGGGATGAGCAGCACAGCTGAGTATGTGGGTTGTGCCCATGAAGAATTTGCCAAATCTTCTCTGCCGGTGTCGGCAACACCTGCACTGGAACCTGAACATGTGGAGGAACGTTGTGTTCAGCGATGAGTCCAGATTCTGCCTAAGGAAGTTGGATCATAGGGTCAAAGTGTGGAGAAGATGGGGAGAACGCTATGCTGATTGCTGCACCGTTAGAGTAACACCTTTTGGTGGAGGCAGTGTGATGGTGTGGGGCGGCATCTCCATCACTGGAAAAACGAGGCTCGTCTTCATTGGAGGCAATCTCAATGCAGAGAGATATCGAGATGAGATTCTGCAACCAGTGGCAATCTCATTTCTCCAGTCTGGGACCGAACTCCATCCTCTAAGTCTCTTAAGATGACAACGCTCGCCCCCACAGAGCGGGGTTTATCAGAGACTACCTCCAGAATGTGGGAGTAGAGAGGATGGAATGGCTTGCCAGCAGTCCTGACCTCAACCCAAGTGAACACTTGTGGGACCAGCTGTTCCTGCCAGAGTGACCAACACAACCACGTTGGCTGACTTGCGACAAATCCTGCTTGAGGAGTGGAATGCCGTCCCACAGCAGTGTGTGAGCAGGCTGGTGACCAGCATGAGGAGGAGGAGCCAGGCTGTTGTGGCTGTGTATGGTTCTTCCACACGCTACTGAGGCTCCTGTTTGTTAAATGGCCAATATGTCTTGTTTCTTCCTTGTTACTGATAGACTTCAATCATCCAATCCACCAAACACCACCAAACAAGAGTCGATAGCAACAGCAGAATAAGCTGTTTGGCATTGGCAGAGAAGATTTGGCAAATTTTTCATGGGCGCAACACCCGCATACTCAGCTGTGCTGCTCATCCCAGAAATGCATGTTCCTTACAATTGGGGCACCGTTTGAAAGATAAATGAAGGCTTTCCAATGGTATAACATTTATTGCCACGAAGCATTGTTACAATAGAGAAATAATCTACCAAACACGAACTTCCGAACTTTTTGTTCGATGTTTAGTTTGTTGCACTTGTTTTCGTTTGTTTCTGCACTGTACTTTGGCTCTGGGTTATGCTCTTCCACCAGTCGGGGCTTTATGGCAGAGTGGCCCGACGGAAGCCTCTCCTCAGTGCAAGACATATGAAAGCCCGCATAGAGTTTGCCAAAAAACACATGAAGGACTCCCAGACTATGAGAAATAAGATTCTCTGGTCTGATGAGACCAAGATTGAACTTTTTGGCGTTAATTCTAAGCGGTATGTGTGGAGAAAACCAGGCACTGCTCATCACCTGCCCAATACAATCCCAACAGTGAAACATGGTGGTGGCAGCATCATGCTATGAGGGTGTTTTTCAGCTGCAGGGACAGGACGACTGGTTGCAATTGAAGGAAAGATGAATACGGCCAAGTACAGAGATATCCTGGAAGAAAACCTCTTCCAGAGTGCTCTGGACCTCAGACTGGGCCGAAGGTTCACCTTCCAACAAGACAATGACCCTAAGCACACAGCTAAAATAACAAAGGAGTGGCTTCGGAACAACTCTGTGACCATTCTTGACTGGCCCAGCCAGAGCCCTGACCTAAACCCAATTGAGCATCTCTGGAGAGACCTGAAAATGGCTGTCCACCAACGTTCACCATCCAACCTGACGGAACTGGAGAGGATCTGCAAGGAAGAATGGCAGAGGATCCCCAAATCCAGGTATGAAAAACTTGTTGCATCATTCCCAAGAAGACTCATGGCTGTACTAGCTCAAAAGGGTGCTTCTACTCAATACTGAGCAAAGGGTCTGAATACTTATGACCATGTGATATTTCAGTTTTTCTTTTTTAATAAATTTGCAAAAATTTCTACATTTCTGTTTTTTTCTGTCAAGATGGGGTGCTCAGTGTACCTTAATGCGAAATAAAATGAACTTTTTTGATTTTAGCAAATGGCTGCAATGAAACAAAGAGTTAAAAATTTAATAGGGGTCTGAATACTTTCCGTATAAAAGCGTCAGCTAAATGACTAATATATATACATATACACACACACACAGTGGGGAAAGAAAGTATTTAGTCAGCCACCAATTGTGCAAGTTCTCCCACTTAAAAAGATGAGAGAGGCCTGTAATTTTCATCATAGGTACACTTCAACTATGAGAGACAGAATGGGGGGAAAGAATCCAGGAAATCACATTGTAGGATTTTTAATGAATGAATTGGTAAATTCCTCGGTAAAATAAGTATTTGGTCACCTACAAACAAGCAAGATTTCTGGCTCTCACAGA